GAAAATGCACCTGTGAAGGGGTGGAGTATATTAGGCAGCAAGTGAACAGTCAGTTCTTGATTCATGTTTTGGAATAAGTAAAAATGGGCAAGTAAATAGATCTGAGCGATTTTGGCAAATATTAATTGTTAGAAGACTGAGTCAAAACATCTCCAAAATAGTAAGTCTTGTTGGGTGCTGCTGGTATACAGTGACTAGAACCTACCAAAAGTGGTGCAACACAGGACAGCCGGTAAACCAGTGTAAGGGGCGCCCACAACTCATTGATGCAAGTGGGGAATGAAGGCTAGCCCATCTGGTCCAATCACACAGTGGAGCTACTGTAGCACAAATTGCTGAAAAACATAATGCCGGCCATGATAGACATGTCAGAACACACGGTTTGCTGTGTATGGGGCTGAGTAGCCGCAGATCGGTCAGATGCCCATGATGGCCCCTGTCCACCACAGGAAGCACCTTCAATGAGGACAGAGAGTAACAACTGCATCATGGAGCAATGGAAGAAGGTTGCCTGATCTGATGAATCACATTTTCTTTTAGATCAGGTGGATTACAGGGTGCATGTGCGTTGTTTACCTGAGGGCAGAGATGGAAGCAGGATGTACTATGGGAAGAAAGCAGGCTGGCAGATACAGTGTTCTGCTAGGAAACCTTGGGTCCTGGCTTTCATGTGGATGTTACTTTGACATGTACCATCTACCTAGAGAATGTTGCAGACCAAGTACACCATTCATAGCAATTCAGTAATGGTTTGAGGAACATGAGTTTGCGGTGTTGCCATGGTCTGAAATTTTCCAGATCTCAATCTGATTACGCACCTGTGGGATGTGCTGAAAAAACAAATGTGATCCATGGAGGCCCCACTTCAACACTTGCAGGACTTAACTTGCAGTATCTGCTGCTAATTTGTTGGTACCAGATACCACAGGGCATGTTCAGTGGTCTTGTGGAGTCCATGCCTCAGAGCTGTTTTGACATCATGAGGGGGACCTACACGATATTAGGCAGGTGGCTTTAATGCCGTAGCTGATGAGAAAATACATGTATGTATTACATACTACAGTACTATAATGTATTCACTCGATGCTTTATTTCATACATGGCATTGATTGGCTAAGAGTGCTCTGACACACTGCCCTTAACATGCTCAGTCAGTCACCCCAGTCACTTAATTAAAGGGACACTATAGTCACCAGAACAACTACAGCTTATTGAATTTGTTCTGGTGAGTAGAATCATTACCTTCAGGCTTTTTGCTGTAAACAATGTCTTTTCAGAGAAAATGCAGTGTTTACATTACAGCCTAGTGATAACTTCACTGGCCACTCTTCAGATGGGTCATGGCTGCCTAAAATACATCCAAATATTCAATATCTCCTCCCTCTGCATGCAGACATTGAACTTTCCTCATTGATTAAATTCATCTCTATGAGGAGATGCTGATTGGCCAGGGCTGTGTTTGAATCATGCTGGCTCTGCCCCTGATCTGCCTCTTTGTCAGTCTCAGCCATTCCTATGGGGAAGCATTGTGATTGGATCAGGCTACCACTTCTGCTGATGTCAGCAGGCAGTGGGCAGGTCTAAAGGAAACAGGGACAGAGCTAGCAGCTTCAGGCTTGAATACAAGTAAGATTTCTATATTTAGGGAGGTATGAGGGGACCAGGGTTGCTAGATGGTGGTTTTAACCCTATAGGGTCAGGCACCCTCTAGTGCTCCTTAAATAACTGTAAATTCCATTGTACCAATACAGTCCAGCATGTCCGGTCTTTAGACACCGGTGAGCAGCCATTTTTTGGTGAACAGCTCCAAACAGATGGACAAAAATTCTTGGTACATAATGGTTATGAGCTGTAGTGCTTAATATGCCCCCAGAGGATTTACCAATTGACATTACCATTCAATTCAGAAGGGGTCCGACCAGAGCCATTGAAACTGAAACTAGCAAATGGAAACATTGTTTCTATTTCACCTCCTCTATCTATATTGCATCTGTACTGACTGATATGCAAGCTGTATTTATTTTTTTCATTTACAGAAAATGGCAGAGGATATAACAATAATTGACAAGAAATCAAGATGGAGTCACTTTAATATTAACAATAATAACATTTTATTTTTTCAGACTTCAGAAAATAATATTTGTTAAGTTTCTAGGGGCTAAGTCATATAGTTTAAAAAAAAAAAAAAAAAACCTGGAAAGAGACCGTTCTCTTTTTACAGTTAAGGATTTTATCTTTCTCCTTTATTTGGTGCAAGTAGTGGCCTAGCTGTAGCATTGTTAAATAAACCATGACAATGTGCTAAATTACTTAAAAACAGGTCATGATGACCAGTGTTTCACTGTTGAGGCTGCCATATGTTGACTGTTTAAGGAAAAACCCTAATATATTCTCATTTTGTACAGCCAGGTGGAGCTCTAACACTTTAGTGTTCCTCAAAAACATTGAACACTTATGAAGTTTGAGCTCAAAATGTACTGCATTTCATGTCTAATTTTAAAATAAAAATCATAGCACCTAAATAGTGAAGTTATTGAGAGAGGCATGTGTTGAAATGAATATTTTTTTTTCTGCATTGGTATGACTTTGATCTATCAATCTTTAAGGATAGTAATAGATTAGGAACTCCATAACATTTCCTTAGATTATCTAAATCAGAGGGGTTAAACCATATTGATTAGTTATGTAATTCTACTAATGTTACATGTTGCCTTTAACAAACACCTCACAAAACAATGAAAATTACTATGTATTGCACAAACACTTACCAAAAGATTTGTTCTAAGTGTGAACTCAAAACTAGAACTACAACAACAGTAAAACTGAAATGAATTTCAACCAAATTCACCAAGAGCAATTTGGTTGAAAGTGTGGCTCTCTCAGTTCAGTGATGGATAGTTTTGGCATTCTGGATGTTTGTGAACCAAATTTACGCTGATGACCTAGGCTCTACCATCTTGAGTGACAAGTTTAGTCAATGCTACTATAGCTTTTTAATATGTATGTTTATGAGCAAACACACTTGAGTTTTCTAGCTTGCAGTTCATTGGTCTTCATTTTCCAATGCATGGCAGGTGTCCCAATATTTTTATATAACTCCCCATGGTACTATCCATCTCCACAATATCACAAAATCTCTACCCCTCCCCCCAAGCATGGTTCCTTAGCATTATTATTATTATTATTATTTTATTATTTCTATAGCGCCAGAAAATTCTGTAGCTCTGTACAATGGGCATTATTTCATATTCCGTTTTCCTGTCACGCTCTTTAGTGTTATCACTAACTCTCTCTCACTCAAATATCTAGACCCTTTTCTTGTTCTCATGTGAAATGTCTACCTATTAGACCTATTTCTTCTAAATTTCTTAAATACTAAGACCCTTCTGTTTCCCAGTCTTTTCCAGAGAAGATGTATCTATCCTTGGAACCTAGTAGAGGTGTAATAGTGCATGGAATTCTACCTCTTTGAGAGCAGAGGCATACCAAAAGAGGCAGCTTTAAAAAATAATTCTCAATGAGGCACGTCTTCCCTTATACTTACCATCAACAGTTACTCTAGTCTAAGCTATTCTCATTTTTAAAAAGGAAAAATTTAAAGAAAGAAAAGAAGATTTAGGAAAGAAAATAAACTGAAGAAAATAATTAAATTACTGAATTATTTTTACATAAATAAATGCAATTACAGAATATAACTTAATGAACAGAATATTATATAAATATTTTAAATATAATATATTTTTGTAGTTTAAAATTAGAGCTTAGTAATGTGACAATGTGACTAAAGAATGGATTGAAAAATATTATAGGAAAATAATGTGATGAAGTGGAGACATAACACCAACAAACCTTAAAGGACCACTCTAGGCACCCAGACCACTTCAGCTTAATGAAGTGGTCTGGGTGCCAGGTCCTTCTAGGGTTAAACCATTTTTTCATAAACATAGCAGTTTCAGAGAAACTGCTATGTTTATCAATGGGTTAAGCCTTCCCCCATTCCCTCTAGTGGCTGTCTCATTGACAGCCACTAGAGGCGCTTGCGTGCTTCTCACTGTGATTTTCACAGTGACAGCACGCCAGCGTCCATAGGAAAGCATTGAGAATGCTTTCCTATGTGACTGGCTGAATGCGCAGCTCTTGCCGCGTGCGCATTCAGCCACGGGCGGATCGGAGGAGGAGAGGAGGCAGAGAGCTCTCCGCCCAGCGCTGGAAAAAGGTAAGTTTAACCCCTTTTCCCCTTTCCAGAGCCGGGCGGCAGGGGGTCCCTGAGGGTGGGGGCACCCTCAGGGCACTATAGTGCCAGGAAAACGAGTATGTTTTCCTGGCACTATAGTGGTCCTTTAATAAAAGTTAAGGTTTCCTTAACGCATTACAGTGCTAAAACGCGTCCCAATCTGTCTGAGATTAGTGGTAGTTGTAGTTCCAATCTGCAGCTGCTACCATTAATTCAGCTCATCAGACGAGGCACAGCATGATTCTGTCTCCCCATTTTCTTGAATTAAAGAAAGCAGCCGCAAATAGCAGCTTCTGTCCCGGAATGAACCCTAACCCAGTACCTCTTGTTTTTTTATCTATCTATCTATCTATCTATCTATCTATCTATATATATATATATATATAGAGAGAGAGAGAGAGAGAGAGAGAGAGAGAGACTAAAACAAGGGGCTCTTGGTTAGGGTTCTGATCTGAGATTGGTAGGAGTTACATTTTGGGACATAAAATGCTATTTGCGGTTGTTTGTCTTTAATTTAAGAAAATGAGGAGACATAATTATGCTGTGACTCCCCAGATATATATGTTTGACA